AGGTGTGATGAGAGCTCAGCTTGAAAGGCGATGCTTTAAATGATCAACCAATCTACATTTTTACGTCATCAGGAGTCATCGGTAATAACTCAGAGGAAAAGACCTGAACACACGACATGCCTGTAATAACTGTGGAATAACTTTAGTTCAGATAAAATCTAACTAAAGTTTTTAAATGACTTACAATCAGACAAGACGACAAATTCGCCTCATTTTCTGTGAATCTCCTTAATTCCATTGCACAACTGAACCAGCTTTGATAAAAAGCAGGAAGAGGCTCTTAGCCCTCTAAATAGATTACAAGGCTTCCAGAGAACAATGAGGGCAATAAATTATGTTAAAGATCAGAACCAGGACTTGAAGCGAGATGCATAACAGAACTAAAAAATATGCTATTGTCTTCTGTTTAATGTAGTTCAGAAGTGAAATTAATCATGGCTGACTTCCATTTGGCTTCATTCTTTCTTTTGGTTTCTGCTTCCAGCTGCAACTAAGTTGAATACACACATTTCAATTCAGCAAATATGGCAACACATATTAAAAGATGGAAATGTTTGTGAACTGATTTGCTCATTTATTCAAAAAGTTTGTCTTCTTACCAGAGCAGCTGACAAAAACCTTTTAGTGTCCAAAGAATTCATTGCGATGCATTTCTGACAAGCAAACTGAAGCACTTATAACAAACAGCTTGACGCTAAGAGCTGAAAACCAGTAAACTGAAATAATTACAGTCAAACTTAGCATTTTTAATGCAGAGAGTCAGGAGGTTTCACTAAGGGTTTGTCTAACATGTAATATTTGACTTTTAATATTTGAAATCAAAGCAGCGACTGAAAGTAATATCATCTATAACAGCTTTTCCTGATAAGGATAATAAAATATTAAATATTTTAAAGAAAATTACCAAAAGTGTAAGAAAAATGAGGAGGAAATGGATCTCAGGAAAGATGCCTATTATTGTCACGGTGTGCGTGCGTGTGTGTGCGCGCGTGCGTGCGTGGTGTCCGTGTGCGTGTGTGTGTGCGTGCGTGCGTGCGTGTGTGTCCGTGTGCGTGTGTGTGTGGTGCGTGTGTCCGTGTGCGTGTGTGTGCGTGCGTGTGTGTGTGCGTGCGTGTGTGTGCATGTGTGTGAGTGTGTGTGTGTGTGTGTGCGTACGTGTGTGTGTGCGTGCGTGCGTGTGTGTGTGCGTGCGTGTGAGTGTGTGTGTGCGTGGTGTGTGTGTGCGTGCGTGTGTTCGTGTGTGCGTGTGTGTGTGTGTGTGTGCGTGCGTGTGTGTGTGTGTGGGGAGGAGTTTGGTGTTTGTGGAAATGCAAACACAAAGGTCCACCCACATGGACTGGCAGGCAACCGAGGCCTTTGTGAGGAAGACGCCTGAGCTCTGCTCTGTTGTTTCAGTCGGTGAATTTAAGAGAAAGAGCGTATTATGCATTCCTCACAGAGAACACTCAAGCTGAGAGCAAAGCAGAAGCTGAATTCATCTGTCACTCAATGCCTCCCCAGAAAATTCCTTTTTGTTTCCCAACCATTAGAGGCTATGCCCATTTGTATGACTGCAATATGTGAGCTTCTTTTTTAAAGCAAGCACTCAGCTTCCTCGCCAATTTACTGTAATTGTGTGCTTTCACAAAAAATCTCAGGCAAAAACTCTGAATTATTTCCCCTTATGTGTGCTCCAGCTCTGATCTCACATGTACAGACTCAGCATGGAGCCACAATATGAAAATTGATGTAATTGCTGTGTTGCCAGCCTGTTTTCTCTGTCGCTGGCCTCGAGGGCAGACCTCTATTTATCCTTTTTTTGCTGCCCTTTTCCTCCCCTCTCCAGTCCTCCTCGCTCTCTTGCTCTCCGTCAGTTTATTTGCCGGCGCTCCCTCCCTGGTGTTTTATTCCCTGGTCTCCAGCAGCCTCAAAGGCCTGATTTACTCCTGCTCTCGCAGTAAAAAGAGAGGCTTTTGTTTCCCACCAGCAGAAGTCACATGGCACCTCAATGGAGGCAGGAACAAGAATCAAAACCTCCTTTACAAATCTACCTGCTTGTGTGGCTGGAAGAAGGAAGCTGGCAGAATCCTTGCAGGAATGTGATCAGTTTGTCTTCAAACTGTTGCAACACATAGAAACTCATTTCAATAGGAGCTGAGCCTGAAACTGTAAGATTTCTTTTTTCTGAGTCTTCTCTGGAAATGGACTGAAAAAAATCCGCCACAAGGGGGCAGTAAAGCACAAAGACGCCTGATCACCACTTGACGCGTCTGCAACACAATGTCAACTTTCTATTTTGTTCCACTTCTGACAGTTGCATGTAAAGCTGCTTGCTTTGGTGGAAACTTTATGAACCTGGTTGTTCTTTCAGTAAATCTCTTCATCTGCTTCCATAGTCACAAACTTACAGACGTCTCTTCATTAAGTCCAGGCATAGTCACACGAAGCTGAACTTTCAGCTGCAGCAGCATGTTTTGAACACAAGACCAAAGTGAAACGAAGGAATCAAACTTCCAAAACCTGGGGTTCATTTGCTCTGTTCGCTGGTTCTCTGAGCCAAAGATCAGAGTTTGATTAGTCTGGTCTGTTATTACAGGCTGACAGTTTCAAACTGAGGCTATAAAACCAGTGGATGGAGGAAGTTACATCATCAGATGCTTAATAAACACTTTGCATGGACACCAGGATCTTCAGAGGTTTGTTGAATAAACACCAGCAGGAGAATGAATTGCATTAATTGTGACGCTCTGTTTTTCCATAAGTTACCTGTTTTAAATGAATGGATTTTCTGAATGAGGTTCGTTCTTCATTCATTTTCATTAGATTTGTGAAGGATGAACATGAAGGACAGACGCCTCTGACAGAGGAAGGCCGAACGCGGGTCTCTGTTAAATTGGCCGTCAGTTTCGATTCGCTGCAGCGAGTGTGACAGCACCTACAGTGATGATGGCCTCCTGCGGTTCCCGGTGACGCTACTGTGACTCAGTGTTGTTCTTACTATGTGACACAGAGCCACGCTACTGCAACACGACGACACGAGCAGCGTGAGAGGAAGGTGTTGAAACCGTGTGAGGCTGAGATTATTAGTATTCATGTCTGTATGAAGGGACGAGAGCGTGAAGACAGGAAGCAGACAGACGACAGCAAACATGTGAGCTGGTACATGAAAAAACAAAAGCCTGTTTCCATCCAGCTTCATTCTGACTCATCTGCTCCTGGTCTTACCAATCGCTGTTTGCTCGCTGCTCTGGGTTTAGACGGCGGTCTGGCTCGACTCTGCATGATATTTTTTGGGACTTGGACGCTGCTGTGGTCTCCTGTTGTTCCTCTGCAGCGCTGCCTAATTAGAACAGCTTCTGAACCTTTTAAGTGGCGTTGCAGAGGTCCCACCTCTCTCGACGCAAACGCAACAAAACCTTGTAAAAATGGAGTTTTTCTCTCCCTCTGCCTTTCAGTTTGATTGAATTCGGTTCATGACACGCAGTGAGAAACACAGCAGAGACGGTTTCATAGGAACTGGGGGAGAGAGTTAAAAAATGAAGCGGTCTTTGTGCTGTCCAGCTGTCTCATCAGAGCAGCCTTTTAAACAGCATGTCTGCCTCCATGATGGGAACAAAGATCCAAACTCTGTGATGTTCAACTCTCCAGAGGCTGGAAAGTCTGAATGGACACAACAAGGTCTGATCCAACAAGAGAGAACCGCTGCTGTGTGTATGAGAGCTATTTGGAATAATTACAGAATTATATCCACTGAAAACGGACGTGCATAAAATACAGTAAAAATGAATTGTAATGGTCCAGAGTGATAATGGAACCTGAGTTAATTTTCCTAAATGGACCGGAGCTGAGAAAGTCATTAACACTCATCATAACTGATGTGCTGCCTCTCATTTGGACAGAAAGCTTTTCCAAATCTGCTGGAAAAAATAAAAAAAACAGAAATTCTCATCAAATCAGATTCATTTCCACTTCCTGCAGGACAAGTTCTGTTTTCTCTTTTCTTTGATTACAAAATATGACAGAACTCTGGACATTTCCCGTTTTAATCCTGCATGGAGCATCTGATCCGGTTTCAAACACACATCTCAGAGCAGATTGGATCCAGGATCATTTGATTCCCTCCGCAGCGTCTGGAACCACAAACCGTGGCGTTCGGCTCCAAATGGCCACTAATTAGCTGGAGAAAAGAAATTACCTGCTCAGCTTCCTGTCTGACTGATGGAGCATTTCATTCTTCCAAACATTTATTCCTTCATGTTTCTGGGGAAAAGTAGCAAATCCTGCAGCAGGGAGCAGCGAACACTGGCTCCGGCTGTTAATGTGGCTCTGGCCGTTCAGGTCACAACAGAAACTTACAAAATAAAATACTTAAAGCAGTAATTAAACTTATAAACCATATTCAGGATGTTATCCTTCAGCAGCATGAAGGATGTGTGAGGTTTTGTTTCATAAATATAAAAATAAAATTTGTGTTTCTTTTTCTCATCATTAATGTTAAAATGAAAGGATGTTAAAGTTTTCTTGTGGGTGTGCTTTAGCTAGATTTGTTTGTATCTCTTACATTGCTGTTCCCTGAGACCAATCAGTCAACCAGTAACCACCTCTCTGATGCATCCTCAGGGTTTCCCACATCACTGCCAGATCTTCCCGGGTTTTTTCCTATTGACAGAGGGGTTCTGTCATTTCCTTTGTTCCTGCCTTCTTAATTAGAATAAAACTAAAAACAGATGGTTTTAACAACTCCGTGACAAAAAACTCAAATATCCAATCAACTGATTTCCATTTCATCAACATGAACAGCTCGTCCTGCCTGTCTTAGAGGAATCAACATGAGAACAAACAATCAGTTCTGTTCTGAGCGTCTTCCTGACAACCCAGAACAACGAGTCAGACATCGGCACAATCAGCTGTAAATGACACGTCACAGTCTGTCCCCTGAGCTGAGCAGCAGACGAGAGCAGCTCTTACACACAAACTGTAACGAGTTGAACTGAGAGCAACCAGCAGACCATGAGCCTTACCTTCCTCTTGTTGTTGGGGCTCACATACAGGTAGCTGAGGATCGTCTTCGCTCCCACTTTGTCGTTCAGCTTCTGGTATGTTGCACCATAGTCAGTTGACCTGAAATTTAATCAGAAAGGTCGGGTGAGCAAATTGGTGAATTACTGATTGCAATTAAACATTTTGTGCAGTGTGAGAGCAGGAAGAGGCTGAGATGAGACCAGGTTCCTGTTTGGTTTCAGAGTGACAGTGAAAACCCAGCAGGAGGTCAAACAGCTGCAACTTAGAGACAAACACAACGCTGAGACACGACACGTTGGTTAGCAACGTCAAAACAAACCATCCAACATGGCTGAAGTTAAACTTTCAGGAGACACTGAGATCCTTTATGTGCAGCGCCAAGAAAAAAGTATTCGCTTTGGCTTTTTGTCACAAATGTTTAAATCCAGCAAAGTAACTCAGTCAATAATTAAAGTGTAATTCTGTGTATTTTTCATTAGTTTAGTTTTTATTAATGCTCCCTTTTATCCATTTATCATTCCGGAACTTAATGAACATTTTAAATGTTGCATTGCACTGCCTCACTAATGAGTTTTCTATCAGGTTTTATGGTAAAACTTAGTTCTTTTAAATGTGCTTTAGAAATAAAATTGACCTTCCATTGGTCCCTTCAGTCCCACAGCAGGTTTATAATTAATTTGATCATTTTTTTGTGTAAGTTAAAAATGGCAGTAGAAAAATTTTATATTACAGTTGACAGATTTAAAATACAACTTTTAACTTTGATGATTCAAATTCCTAAAGGAAACCTTGAAACACTGTTAAGGTTCTGGATCACAGAACCTTCTGGATCACAGAACCTTAACAGATCGACTGTTGAACTTCAGATCATTCAGAACAGAAACTTTGGTTTTCATGGAGGCGTTACCTCAAGTTTATCCACTCGTCCATTATCCAACACACTTAACCTATGAGGGGTCATGAGGGATTCGACTGCCTATCTTCACACACACACACACACACACACACACACACACACACACACACGCACGCACGCGCACGTACGCACGCGCGCACACACACACGCGCGCACGCGCACGCGCACGCACGCACACACACGTACGCACACACACACACACACATACACACACACACACACACACACGCGCACGCGCACGCACACGCACGCACACGCGCACACGCACACGCACGCACGCACACACACACACGCACACACACACGCGCGCACGCACACACACACACACACTCGCGCACACACACGCACGCGCACGCACACATGCGCACACACACATGCGCGCGCGCACACACACATACACACACACACATGCACACGCACACACACACACACACACACACACCACACACACACACACACACACACACACACACACACAGCACCGTTTCCCCCCAGCAGTCTGTATTACACTCATCATACAGACTGCTGGCTCATTGTAGCTAGCGCTCTGATTTTTGCGGACTCCCTATTCAAAGCATCAACTATAAGAACTACAAACTCATCTTTCTTTCAGGAATCATTTTGTCCTGCCAGTAAAATGTTCACCACAGAAGAAATCCTTGCTGTCCTGCTTATGAAAAAAAAACATAGATATTTTGAAAAATAATAATTAAGCACTGTTTTATAAGGATTTTCACTAGTCGGCGTCTGCGTTCCTCTCTGTTTTGTACTGGGATATTTAGTTACAACTGGAATAAGAAAAATGTGTGATAAGCTATTTCCTGGTAGAGAAAAAGAAACGGGTAGCTATAAGGACAAGAGCACTTCCCCTGGATATGATCTTTTTGATGACTTTTATTTAACCCATATCCTCAACTGAGGAGCAAACCTCCCCGGCTGGGGAGTTTCTATGTTCTCTGTTTGCTTCCTGCTTCTCAGGTTAAGATGCGTTTTATTTATTCATTCCTCTTCCATCCGTCCCTGACTGAGAAGGACTGGGGAGGTTTGCTTCTCAGGTTACAATGAGTTTAATTCTTCTCTTTTCGATCCGTCCTCAGGTTATGGTGAGTTTGATGCATTTCTCTTTGATCCGTCTCTGACTGAGAAACAAACCTCCCTGGCTGGGGAGGTTTGCTTGTCAAAGAGCTTTTCAAAGAGCTATTGAAGATGGCGATGAGTGTCAACAGCAAAGACCTCCTGAAGTGTCTGTACCACACTGAACCTGAAGAAGCCTCTGACTGAAGACATATGCTCGTAGGGAAGATGGTCAGGATTGTCCATAATTTTCTTGATCCTATGAAGAATCATTCTCTGCATTACCAGAGGTTCCACTGACATGTCCAGAACAGAACCAGCCTTCTATACCAGCCTGGGACTGATGCTGCCCCAACAGAGGATGCTTTCAACACCAGATTTCCTCCAGAAGTCCTGTGCCTTTTGATAGACGCTTCTCTATTGCGTCTCCAGTCCAGATGAACACCGAGGTCTTTATGTTCCACAACTTCTTCTCCCACGAAGGAAACAAGTTTGATCTAATTCTTTTCCTCGTGAAATCAACAATCATCTCCTTTGGTTGGTTGGTTGTTTAAAGTTCTCTCTGGTGCTCCGGGTTCTTCCATATAATTAATCTCTCTCTCTTTCCCTCTAATAAATAAATACATATATATATATATATGAAAATTCCCTTCTCCCCCACCGCGGGTGGTTCTTATCCTCTGAGCTCGGGTCCTCTACCAGAGGATATATATCTATATATATAGATCTATATATCCTCTACCAGAGGCCTGGGAGCTTGAGGGTCCTGCAGTATCGTGGCTGTGCCAAGGACTGCTGCACATTTCTGGACTGAGATGTCTGATGTTGTTCCTGGGATCTGTTGTAGCCATTGATCCAGCTTGGGGGTTACTTAATAAAAAGTTGAGTTTTATAAATTGCATGCATAGAAAACATTTGATTCTAATCAAATTCCATTTTGTCTAGTCTTCCTCCTTGTGTATCACCTCTGAAAAAACTTGGAGAAGCTGCACGGCCCCCATGGGACTAAAGTTAATTAGCAGCGCTCTCTTGTTTACTAGAACCTCACACCTGATCTGACAGGTGGAGACTGTTTACATGCTATCTTTGAAGGAACCTTTTGCAAGTAAAAACTTAAAACTCATTGATATTCAGACTCCAGAATAAATCTTTGAAGAAATCTCTGAGGCAGCGATGATTGACGACCTCCTAAATCCGTCTCATCTTCTGCAGTTACAGTGGAATTGTTTCAAGATTAATATCTTCCAAAAGAATGTTTTCTTTGAAAACATTTTCTAAACTTCTTTTTATCAAAAGACTAAATGACACACACATTCAGACTGAAAAAGTGAGTCATCAAGAGCAAAAGAAATGTTTAAACTGTAGAGATTAAGATAAAAGTCGGCACATTGACTTTACAGCCGAGTGGCTGGACGAGTTTATTGATACAGATAAATAAGTAAAGGGAGCTGCATTTTTCTCCAATGCTAGTTATATTTATGGGGGTCAGTGTATTGGAGTCAGTTTTTCTTCTCCTGACCTGAATAAAGGAAACAGAGGACTTCTATTTTTATCTCATAAAGAGACACACAACCCAGACGAGACCTGCTTTAACTTCCTGAACTCAGCTGTGATCCAGGTCATCCTGTGGGATTTCTACACAAACAGTGGAAATAAATTCATCTAATTAAATATGTTATATAAAATAAAGTATTTTAATCTCTACTAACATGTCTTACTGTCAGCTGTTCTTGCTTACAGTAGATGGAAATCCAGCCCATTGTTCTACGCTTTGCGTCGTAAAGTTGATCTGGACCCTTCCTGGAGGCGTGGCCTCTGTTACTATATTACATTTTACCTAATGCCAACATTTGGCCACAATGTATGAAATACAACCATTCGATGCTATGACGTGTAGCAGAACCTGACTGCTCTGGAAGCAGCCGTCCTCCACTGTGAAGTGGAAGTGCCGATCCGAACGAGGCGCCTGTTGATGTTATTTCAGGACGTTGAAGCGTGAGCAGCACAGACTGAACGGCATTTCCTCTGATAAAACTGCAACCCTCTACTGGCAGACTATGATTCTAAAATGGCGCAGAAAATCACCATCATCCTCCACAACGTCTCCTTCTGTTCTCCGATTGGCCCGGCTGACATGCTACCGGAGCAATCCAAGTTAATGGGAGGAAGTCCAGACTGAGGCTGATGAAAAGATTCACAATTCATGAGAGACTAACATATTTGGCTAATTCCTGATATTCTGGTTGTATCCCGATTCAATTAAAGAAACTCCAATTTATTATTAATAAAAGAATTAATAATGTAGTCATAATTAATAACCAAACCAAATTTTGATGCAAATCCTGGAGTCCCAAGAAGTTGAACAAGACCTTGAAATGTTTGAATAATGAATTTATATAGTATGAGTTTTCACTTTTCAAAATAAATTACTAAAATAAATGAACTTTCCTTGAAATATTTATTCCAGATACTGCAGCTGTAACCTTCAGGGCTGGATCTTCTTCTGTCAGCCAGAGACACTTTATGTTTACAGAGTTTTAAATCGATTTAAACTGGTAAACCCACATCGTCCTCAGAGGAGCGTGAATATATTCTAATGTCGGCCACACCACTGATGACAAATCTGTGCTTGGATAGGATTTTAGCGTTCCAGGCTATCTTTGAAAGTTTGAACGACTTCTCTGAGCTGCCAGGTTTAATTTGTTTTCAGAGGCCTGAGGCTCAATCAAGGAACTTTTTCTCATTTCACACAAAGCCAGAGAAAAAAAGACCAAAGCATGCAAATCCTAAAAATGCAGGGAAGACGGCCCTAAACGCCTCGCGTGACTTCAAATAAAGCAATTGCTCACACCGACTGATCTGTTTCTTTCATTCCTTTAAATCCAGACTGAAGATCTTGTTTAAAGGGATTTCAGAGAATGTCACAGTTTACAAAAAGCCATGAAAATAGAAAAATATTCTCAACATATTACCGATTTGCTTCCCTTGGGGAACCTTTCAGGTTTACTTTGGACGGTATCCGTGGTGAGTGAATGCGTTGCTGGTACCGTTTATCAGAAATCATTGGTGTCTGCGTTCACTGGGCAGTGACATCATCGGACTATTGATCGGCTCCTGTCACAGAAAACCTGATTTAAGACCCAGTGACGCATTTCTACTGTGGCAGCAACTTTAAGCGCTGTGCACCGTCCGCATCCCGGGAGGATGAAAGCACACCAAGAGAAAAATGATTTTTCAAGAAGAAAACGACGCAGTGAAAAATAATCTATTACACTCTTAGCTCACCGAACTAAATCCTGCAGATTATCAAATAAATTAGTCAGATAAATATAATCAAATTAGTTCAGTTAAGAGAAAATAGTTATTCAAACCATGTGCATGTCAGGAAATAGGGTGAAAAGTTTCAAAAACCAACATTGTTCTCCAATCGAAAGAAATCTGAAAACAGATGAGAAAAATAGTTACAATCGAACTAAAACCTGTCTGGGTCCGGTTAAAGAATACGACCGCCAAGCAGAATGCAGACCGCTCCAAAAGCAGGAAGAGGACTGCAGCGCACGGCATTCTGGGTAAATACTACAACCAGTGAAATCTGACATTTCTGTTTACATTCAGGAAGAAGGAATCCTCTCCGTCCTCAATGGAGCGTCACCATGAAGGAGGCCTCATGAATGACCCATGACCTCTGGGCTCCACGACAAGCTCCTCCATTATGGTTATGAACCAGGACAATGATCCAATGATAAATTTCAGAGTGGCGGACCTGAGCTCAATCCTGGACAGAACCTGGGCCGAACCTGGGCCGAACCTGGACAGAACCTGGACCGAACCTGGGCCGAACCTGGACAGAACCTGGACAGAACCTGGGCTGAACCTGGACAGAACCTGGACAGAACCTGGGCCGAACCTGGTCAGAACCTGGACAGAACCTGGTCAGAACCTGGACAGAACCTGGTCAGAACCTGGACCGAACCTGGACAGAACCTGGACAGAACCTGGGCTGAACCTGGACAGAACCTGGTCAGAACCTGGACAGAACCTGGACAGAACCTGGGCCGAACCTGGTCAGAACCTGGACAGAACCTGGTCAGAACCTGGACAGAACCTGGGCTGAACCTGGTCAGAACCTGGACAGAACCTGGACAGAACCTGGACAGAACCAGGGCCAAACCCCCGTCAGGCCGTGGGAAGCTGTGTCCAGACGGTACATGGGTGTGAACCGCGCCGCTCTGACCTCACGCTGACTGGATTTTTGCAGCTGCAGGTGGAAAAAGGCTTCAGGCTGGCGGCGCGTTGGCCTCACAAAGACGGAGCGAGTTGGTCCAAGGACGCGGGAATGTTATCTGCATTATTACACCGATACGGCTCAGTGGGGAGAATGGATCCAGGATATATTAGGAACATCTGAGGCATTAAAAACTTTCACAACCTAAAAAAAAACCTTTTTTAGTCCTCGTGAAACAGATTAAAATTCTGTCTGAAGTCGCATATTAAAAAGCTTATTAGAAAGTCTCAGTTATAAGTGCAATACATTGATAGGCAGCTCCGTCGGGAATGTGGTTCATCATAGTCCAGAGAGAGAGACAGACAGAGAGACAGACAGAGAGAGAGAGAGACAGACAGACAGAGAGACAGACAGAGAGAGAGACAGAGAGAGACAGAGAGACAGACAGAGAGAGACAGAGAGATCCATGGATCTCAGGAACCGCCAGCAGCGCCGCTCCAGACAAGCAACAGCCGCGATGAGTCGCCAGGATGAATCTCTGCAGTCGCTCCATCTCTCCACCTCTCTCTCTCTCTCTCTTTGTCTCTCTGTCTCTCTTTGTCTCTCTGTCTCTCTGTCTCTGTCCACCTCTCTCTCTCTTTGTCTCTCTGTCTCTCTCTTTGTCTCTCTGTCTCTCTCTGCTAAATCAGAGCTTTCCTCCTCCTCTCCTCTCCACATCCGCAGTGCTTTTCCATCATCCCATCATGATCTACGGTTCACCTCCGGCTCCTGAAAACCTGTTTTGTTTTTTTTAACCATAAGCGTGTTTTTAAAACGAGCAGCTCTGTGATTGGACAGTGAGAAATGATCATAAAAGCCCAATTAGGAAACATTTTCAGCCCGTCCGTCACAGCGGACAGGAACCCGGCCAACGTTCTCAACATGAGGATCTGGATGAGACCCAGAGCAGAGAAGAATGAGGGACAAAGAGGAGCGGGGGTCAACCTGTGGTTCACGGGCCACTTAAAGGCCTCTGCATTATTTTGCGGGGCCAACTACTGGAAACCAAGGATTGTAAAAATGTGGACCTCCAGTAAATGATGCAGATGGACACTGCAGGACTTTCACCCACAAAGTAAAATCATCCAAAATGGAGAGTATAGAAAACCCAACAATTTTTATAAACTTATGTTAAATTTGAATGTTTTGGGTTTTGTATCATCTTAGTTTCATGATCAATCTTTGAATCATCTTTCAGTTCTCAGACTGTGAGGCTGACACCTTGTTACCAGGCTTAAATCGTTCCTGTTCGATTCTCCTACTACTCTCCAGTTCTACGGTTGTTGTGGTCATGGCCGCTGCAGCGTCCAGATGAATCGATCCTCACAGACTCCCTGCTGGGACGGCGGCCAAAAGGAGCAAATACTAAATACTGACTGTCATATTTTTATTTATTTGTCTATATTTTGTGGAAATTTGTTTCCACTTTGACATTAGAGGTTTCGTTGGGTTTTATTTTGATCACAAATCCAAATTCTGTTAATCACGATTGATTTGTAATAGCAATGAAAGGAATCCAAGGGGCTGAATGCGTTTCATAGACACTGTGAAAGTGTTATAATCCTGAATGGAAGCTGCTTGGCCTTTGTCTCACTGTGTGTTGAAGGATGCTAAAAATTGAAATACAGTCAGTATTTTTCAGTGTCTTCCTGATCCTCACAGAGAATGGATGAAGATCTTCGACCTGCTGCCTGGACGGTTTGATATTCCAGTATCTTTCAGACCGCATGTCACTGTTTGCTTTTTCTTTTCATTTATAGCATCGCATTCATTCGTCTCTTGACTTTGACTGATTGTTTTCTGCTGTGTTGCTGGAACCCAGTTTGGTTGTTGACATATGAAACAATTTGATGACATTAAACCAAATCAGATTCTCACTGATGAGATCATATCTCTGAGAGCTGCCTGCTTACGAGAGCAAAGCCAAGTTTTAAATCAATAAAGAGATGAAATCTGTAAAATTGGAGACGAACAGAAAACTGGGAGATTCACTTGAGGAGATTTTTGACTTTGTGTTGTTACTTGTTAAAAACGCTGACTTCACTGCTGTCCGTAAAGAAATGACGGCCTGACAGATTCATGCTCACGCCCAGCACATCATTTTATGGGCAGAAAAATTTCAAGCTGTTACCTCATGCAGCTTTGCCTACTTCAGGCTGGAATCGCTCCCCGAGGTGCTGCTCCGTCTTCCCGGCTGTAAATTTTCTACTGATGTCCCGTCCAGCCATTAAACTCTTCTCTCGAACACGTGAATCGTCTGGTCACTCATCTGTCTTTCTGTCGGACTGTCAGGCTTTTCCACACACACCTTTAATCATCCGTCCATTACGAAGCGCCGTATTTTCTCAGGTTATTAGATTTATCACAGCGTTGGAGAGGCACCATTACCGGGATAATGCGGGATCATGGCTGGATGCTCTGAGCTGAGTGGCCTCCTGCGACGCCGCAGCGTTCGCCGCAGCGTTCGCCGCAGCGTTCGCCGCAGCGTTCGCCGCAGCGTTCGCCGCAGCGTTTGCCGCAGCGCTGCGTGTCTGCAGCGCCTCAGGCTGCACAGAAATCCTTCAAATGCTTCCCTCAATAAAGTCATTTTTAGTCCAGACAATAACAAACGCTGTAAAGGTGGTTAGCTAATATTCCATAAAAACATTTCACTAAAAGAAACTTTTCTTATTCAAAATGGTTAATTAATCCCAAAGGGACATTAAATAATGTTATTTAGCCAAAGGCAAATTAAAAGAAAGTTTTTAATAAGTGTTTGGATTGACAGCTGTGATACACAGCGGGCAGAAAATCGAATATTTATTAAAGATTCATTATTTTGTCTCGGTGGAACCAATTCAAGTCTGACTGATGAACATGGAGAAGAACTGGGACTGAAAACAGCTACAAGTCAGAGGGGAAGAAAAACACTAATCTAAGAACAAAATGCAAAAACTCAAACATTGTGACACAAATCTAAATATGTTTAGTAATCCAACTGACTGTCTTTATTCATAACTCACTGCACAAGCTCATAAAACTGACCTGATCAGATTTACCTGAGCACAGTCTGAGTTTGAGAGCCGATGGTTTTGGGCTCAGAACCCAAAACCAGCCTTCAGCTCCGGGTTCTGATTGGCTCCTGATCCTGACATCTTCCTCTGACTTTAGTTTCCCCCAGAAGTTTCAAACATTTAAGTGATTCTCAGTGTGTGAGGATCTGGATCTGGATTAAAGCCAGAGGAAGTGTGGACGGCGTCTCGCCGGCGTCTCAGACCAATTTACTGTGTCAAACTCAGACCTGCTCCCATCATGATGTGGTGAGACGTGTGAGACTCTTACCTCCATAATGAACTCTCAGTCACACTGTTGAGGTTGAAGTCAAAGAGTTTGGTTAGCATCAGAATCACCTGCAAAACAACAGAGGCAACAGTTAGGATGCAAATCTATTCCCTCCGTGCATAAAGACGTTAAATTCACAAGAAATTTAAAGACATAAATTCTGGGAACATTTTGAGGGAGTCAGATTAGCCGAGTCAGATTTCTGCCTCTTTCTCCTTTTGCTCTGAAATAATTAGACTATAAATGTCAGACTAACAAAATGTTCAGCCTTTTTTCTCTCCAACTTTGTTTCAAGTGGAAGTTCTTTCTGTCCATCTGAGTAACTGGACCTCCATCCATCATTCAGCTCCATTAAGTAGATTTTCTCATTTTGACCCTCATCCATCACCATTCATGGATGACGAGCGTCGCGTTCAGAACTGCATCAGTGGACAAACCGATCCCAGGAAATATTTCTATCCAGAAAGTTTGTGAATTAAGCAGATTAGATTTTTTCCTGTTTTTCACTGATAGAGAAACACGTCGGACTTTCCAGCTTGTTTGACTCATGAACAGTTTTCTTTATATATTTACTCCTTCAGAAACCCTCAGCAGCTTGATGCAAACGCCTTTTATTTCATTTATTACATATTTTTCTCAAGCTGTCACAGCTGAATAGAAGATCTGATGCCATCCATCAGATTTATCTTCTGTAAATCTGTAAATGCTTTAATTTCACTTGCTTCACGAGGGGATAAATTTATCTTCTCATTCAGAATTAAAGGAAATCAACCAGATGAAAATGGAAACTTATTCCAGTCAAACATCATGCAAACATTTACATTTTTGCTGTCAAAGAGGATAAAAATCCCCAGTTTGTTTCTTCGGAGTGTGAAACAGACTCCTGATAATCTTCTTGTCATCTTTGTCTTTTCAGACTTTCAGAACAATTAAAGCATTTCTAACCACATGTGGCGTGTTCAGAGTTGAAATAATATAAAGTGCATGCCTTAGGGTTGTGTGAAGAGTGGGAATAAGACTTTTTCTGAATCTATTTAACTTGTGATGAGTGTTGGGAGGTCAGAGCAGGAGGAGTGGCTGTCAGTGGTCATGTTTTTGGGCTCTTTGCAGGAAGGAAGAGGCTTCAGCATCCTGACACCCTGAAGGCTGAAGCTGTTCATCAATCTGCTGCTTCAGCTCTGACGTCTGCAGAACACACTCCAAACACACACCGAGTAAAAACAACGACTCTGCCTCAAATATACAGAATCTGAAACAACTATTCACATTGCAAACAGTTTTTTGAGGAGAAACTTTAACTTGTTATTCAGGAGTCGGTTCCTGCATCCCGTCTCAAACGTACCGACTTGCTACTGAGCATGTGCAGAACGACAGGAAGCTGATGCAGAGATCCAGGTGTGTGGAGACGGGATGCAGCTGATAGTTACAGGACAGACGCTTTCAGTCCTGGATAATATTAAACCCTTACAGAAATCAGTTTTTCCACTAATTTCATCTTAAATTCCTCATAAAAATGTTAAATATGTCTCTGTGACTCGCTGTGTCCAGAAGCAGAAGAGAGGAAATCTGAGCTGCTGCTTTAGAAAAACTTCAGGGCATAAATACTTTAAAAGATGGAAAATTTCTCCTATTATTTCAGTGTGAAGATGAAAAATCCACCAGTTTGTGTCCATATTAATAAAACGAACTAATTAAATGCCACTCAGAAAATCACTTCAGATTCTGAATTATTAAAAATATTGAAGTTGATCAATTTAAGCAGAGCTCTCAACACTGAAACTGCTTTCACAGCAGCTCCTGATGCTCATTTCTGATTTTTTGCTGAAATCCGATTTTGTTTGCAGGATTCTGAGGAAACTTTTAAAATGTTGCAAAACAGAAAATCCAAATGAGACATGCTTCCACCCAGAGGTCTGCAGAGAATGAGACGGTGGTCTCTGCAGTGAATCAGACGGTGGTCTCTGCAGTGAATGAGACGGTGGTCTCTGCAGTGAATCAGACGGTGGTCTCTGCAGATGTTGATGCATCGCATGGCTGCAGCAAAACCCTCAAACTTTCTTCTGTTTCCATCAACAACTTCAAAAATATGCAGAAAAATTATTAACGGAAGCAACTACAGATTTCTGTCATAGTCTACGATTTCTCATTGCAGTCATTGTCTACATTTATTCAGTTCGTAATCAATTTGTTTAATATTTATTTATTGGCTCTTTAGCACCTCATATTGAAAAGGCATATAAATACTGATAATTATGGAGTGGATAAGTAATATATTTCATTAAACTGAGATAAGGAGGGGATGAATAAGACTCCTTGCTCTTCATGTTTCCATGTCCTACTGGTTTCTTCTTTTCTTATTTAAAATAAATGAAATCTGGATTTAATCGCATTTGGCTTCTTCTGGTGCAGAATTATGACTCATGTCTCACGTCAATGATGTAAAAGCTGAATAAAATCCAGTTTTTTTTATAAATATAAACTTATAAACTATAAGTTTAAATGTAAACTTATTTAAATGTTACGTTCAGACTCTCCAATAACCAAAAATCGTTTTTTTGGAGGATGCATTCACCTGCTGTTAGACATACATAACCAGTCAGAGGCAGTTAGAACTTTAAAAATGAAGTTTGATAAACTGACAAACGTTTATTAAGAAGAATAATCAGGTAACTGGCCGTCAGCCTTGTTAAAGTTTGTTAAAGAGGTTCCTAACCCTAACCCCTGACCCCAACCCTAGATCACCGTGTCAGATGTAACGTATGGGATCATTTCCTCCATTTAGCTTTTCTTCCATATTTCTATTCAAAGGTTGAAGATGAAGTCAGACGTTTGATCAAAATGTTCACCTTAACTGCTTTGTTGCTGTTTTCAACCTGACTGTAAAACAATTCAAATTAAAATCTATTTTTAATCAAATCAATCATCTCCATGTGTTAATCAGACACAAGAGGTCTTCTCTGTGAACAGACTCCACAGCTGCAGCGCGAGCTGCTGCTGCAGCGAGCTGCTGCTGCAGCGAGCTGCTGCTGCAGACTGCGGCTGTTTAAAATTATCCTCATTGTTTCAGATTCATTACTTAATCATATCCCATTGATTCCAAACACTGCTGGGAAAATCTTCCAGATTCAGATGATGCCCTGAAGGTGAGCGGGACGAGTGAAAGTGGGTCAGCTCTGGTCTTCGGGGAAACAAGCCGAGGCAGAAACAACTTATTTGGCTCGGAGCGTAGAAGTGAAAGCGGCGCGGTGAGTTTGCTTTGTGACTGGAGGAGTTTGAAGCTCCGGAGAGGCTGAAGATGCAGGAAAATATTGAGAGAAAACTCGATCCTGACTGTTCCGGGTTACTCTGATAAGATCCAGGAGATCCAAGGGGACGCGCTGCCTGTTAGTTATCTGATGACCTGCAGGTGTTCTGGGTAATATGCTGCAGTGGTCACTCTGCCCCCTCAGTGCATTGCTGCTCTTATCTCTGACTGTTCAACAAAACTAAACACTGATGAGTTGGAAACCATCAGCTCCCCTCTGCATCGCCCTGCTTGTTGCCGTGGCAGCAGCAGCCGATGACTCGTGTGACTTTGTGAAACTGTTGCGCCAGCAGGAGGCTGCAGCGAGTTCACGGCGAACAGATGCACCTTGGGTAGAGGAATTACCCGGCGAGGTCGGGGGCTCCTGTGATCCGGCTCATTAAATATGCGCCAACATCTGCAGCCCCTGAAAGCCCGGCGGTGCCATGGAAACGGGTCGGTGTCGGCCGGCAGGGACTCGGTGTTCTGAACGTTCACCCGGATAAAGAGCCGTAATCCTGCACTGATCAGAAATCAGCCTGGGGACGGAGGGGGGCTGTCACCTTAAAGTCAGAACCGTGCATGCTAATGCTAATGACCAACCGGGTCCACTGTGTCCCACCTGGAGGCTACATTCCCAGCATTCAGCTTCTCTTTTCGTCCTCCACTCATTATTTCCTTCACACATCACATTCTGCTCTGCGAGTCAACGTGTGTTTGTGACAAAAGCAGGTTGAAGGTGAGGGTAATGGGCCAATTATGGCTTTAACAACTGTGAGCCAGTCGTTAGCGTGTCTGGGTAGGTACAGGTGAGCGGGTGTGGAAGGTTTTCCAGCTCAGAGCGAGTCCGTCATGACACACGGCTCCAAACTCAGAGGAGCGTCCTGTGAAAGGCCGGCGTAACGTCTCACTGGCTGAAGGGCAGAGTCTGCTCTGGCCGTCTGGCGCCTGCATATGGAGGGAAGCAGGCGGTTGTCAGCCAGTGGCCCGGTCAGATGGGCTCCCACTGGAAGGTGCATATGTTCCTCACACGCGGCGCCAGTTGGGCCCGGGGGCTTCATACTGTAAATACACAGAGACGGCTCTGTGGAGGATACCTCTCCACAGGCGGAGTCACTTCTGATGCATGAACGCACCAGAAAGAAAATAAAACTATCTCAGATTTCCAACACATTTTACAAAGATCCAGACTCAAATATTCAGATTTTTTTATGCAGTAAATTTTTGCTCAGTCAGAGAAAAGGTGAATGTCGGCACTTCAGTTGGTTCCCTCCTTATCCTGTCCTCTGATAATGTTAAAAAGGGGAAATATTATGTCTGCTCCATTTTATAGCACAGACAAGTAAATATGACTTAAAAGAAATTTGACTTTGATGGTTTAAAATTGGATCGCTGTCTCTTTAAGAAGCTCCTGGTCTGTCTGACACTCTGTCTTCTAGACGTCATTAGAAAAATTTTTCTATGTTAAGATTTTATTATTTTGCTCAGAGAAGTAGCTCATACAGCAGATGAGAAGATCCACCAGGTGTTTGCTAATTGCTGCTGGCTAGTTTGCAGGATAAGAGCGGGGGAGTCGCTGGGCTGCTCTGTGGGTCCACAGCTGGACACACGGTGGACGTACCAGGACCTGGACGTCCACCCAGACTGACAGCTTAATGCTGTGACAGAACGGCCCAGTCAAAGTCCACACTGAAATCCGATTGAAAATCCTTAGCAATAATTGAAAACCAATGTTCACAGACATCTGCATCCAGACGAAGAACGGCCAGATGTTCAGTCCTGTGC